ATATTTTTATGTGAGGATCGATCCTTTCGATACAACATCAGTATCGAAAGTATCGATACTTAAGGATCGATCCGCCCATCCCTAATACAGTTACGTTTCCTGTAGTGGCTTTCCTATTTGCCAGGGCATTAGTTGTTCTTTACTCATAAAATAAATAAACAATGTTGTTAATTTAATAAACAAACAAAACAAAAACACTATCAATAAAAACATGTGGAGCTATGATAAGAACCATACAGTATGTTCCCGCCAGTACCTGTCTAATACAAAATACAACATCAAGGGAAGGTTAATATCACAGGATGTGAACAGGTGACCTACACCTATACTCACCACAGTGCACACTGCACCTCTGTTGGTGAAATAATAATTACATTTGGCTCCTACAATTCCATTTACCATATTCGATGTGCTCAATGTATGTGCACTGACCATTGTTTATATGTGAATAAAAAGACTAAATTAAATCTGTTTATTATATAAAGCGATAATTTCTTTGGACTTGGATTAAACAGCTCAATTCATATGAAAGCCTTAAGGCCCGTTCACACCAAGCACGATAACTATAAAGATAACGATAAAGATATAGTTCTAAAAATCATTCTCAATATTAAAGAATAGCATAGTTCACACCACAACTATAACGATAACGATGCGGAGGAACGATATCGTTGTGATCACTTTCAAAACGATTTTTTTCCAGCTGATGAACGATAAAACAACAGCAGGATGGATTCAATCAGAATCCATTCTGCTGTAACGAGCGCAAGCATTTAAAGCGGCAGACGCATGTGCGCTTAGAATAAACAGACGATATCGTTCGCTGGTGTGGATGCTAATATCGTTATCTTTATAGTTATCGTTCTTGGTGTGAACGGGGCTTTATGGGTTTCAAATGACATGAGGGTGAGTAACTGATGAAAGAATTTACATTTTTAGGTGAACTAACCCTTTAAGCAATATCACACAAACATGTGGACTGCTTCGAATATCAGCACAGCTGCGATTCGGCTTCAGTTGGAGGTTTTGTGGGTTATCATGGCTGTGCTAATATCTATTTTCTAATAGTTTGTCTATTAATATTTATTTATATCTGCCTACTTGTTTATTTAGTTTTTCGAATATATATATAATTGTACCTGCACTCACTCACATCGTTAACACATCCCTTCACACTGGTGTTTTTCCCTCAGCATTTAAACAGGCTCGTATAACCCCACTTCTTAAGAAACCCACTCTTAACCCAACTCTTTTAGAGAACTACAGACCGGTTTCCCTTCTACCTTTCATTGCAAAAACACTTGAACGAGTTGTGTTCAACCAAGTCTCAGCCTTTCTCACACAGAACAACCTCCTGGACAGCAACCAATCTGGCTTCAGAAGTGGACATTCGACCGAGACTGCCTTGCTTTCAGTTGTTGAAGCCCTAAGACTGGCAAGAGCGGCTTCCAAATCTTCTATACTTATTTTGCTGGATCTTATATATATACACCTTGCTACGTGTACTGCGTTAGGCTAACCGAGACTTGTCATTTGCACTTATATATTGTTGCTCTTTTGTTAGTTTTGACTGCTTTTATTGTCCTCATTTGTAAGTCGCTTTGGAAAAAAGTGTCTGCTAAATGACTAAATGTAAATGTAAATACATGTGCTAACTAGCGTTTATGAAAATGTAAAACACCAGCACTTCTGCTTGTGTCATATTGCTTAACTATCATGCTGGCACTCATGTTACAGCTCCTGCCTTCACGTCAGCAAATTCTCCAGTTCAGACTAACCACAGAGCTCTGTTCTCAGAGAATGAAAATACATTTGTGTCACTGTAACCACACTGCAAAATCAACCCTTCATGTCAGCTGTTCATAATCACCTATACTGAGTTATATAAAAAAGATCTTAACGTAGGTTTTAGTTTCTGTTTAGTCTCTAAACAAGAAGAATCACCCCCTGGATCTCATTTTACTAAACCGCTTTCAAGTCATACATTTTTTACTGAATCAACAATACACAGATCAAGAATACAAGTCTGAGAACAGTTTTAAATCTAGACTGTAACACAGTAAGCCCCAAACTATAAGCTTTCACTTTTCCAAAGACATCCATTAGAGATACTTGAGAAAATAAAATGAACAAGACAAATTCTTTGAAAACAAACAAAGACAGTTATTTCCAATTGACCCGAGTTTGAATCCATTCTTGGCACACACTTTATTTTGGGTAATGCTGGTTCCATACTTAACACGATTATCCTTCTGCTGTACAAAGTATTAGAAGTTCAGAAGTATTAGACGCTTAAAATTCCTTATTTACACCTGTTCAGTTGCTCGAGGAACTCGAACACAACTTGGCCATAAGCCCTGCGTTAGCTGTTCTCCTAACAGAACAGATATTATACAATGTCTATGCAATTACTACTGTTATCAGTTTATTATCTGAAAACACAGCATTACACATGTGTAACTACGTATCAGGTTCAAATCTCTATAACAATGAACACTGCACTGACTTTCCTATTATAACATAAGCAAACAAACAGAACAGCCCCATAACGGTAACGTACATAACAACCTAATGAAACCTAAAAAGTACAGGGGGGTACAGTTTATATAATTCCTTGTCGCTTTCCATTAGTAAATATTTAAGAGAAGTCGTGAGTAGGTTGTGTAGGCTCGCTAACGTTAGCTAGCAACACGGCTATTCATTAGCTCAACGTAAACAAGACACTTTTCCTCAGCTATTATGAAAACCGAATGACAAGGGAAGCTAATGAAGCTTGGTTTGGGCAATAT